AATTCTATTTGGTTAACTGGGAAAAAGGTCTGCTAATCAGGAGTTTAGAAGTCTAACCAGCTTCTCAGTAGGGGATGGGTTTTGGAAGGATGACTGGTGTAGGGTGGGAAAGCTTTGTGAGCTATTCCAAAGGCTGTATAGGTTAGCTGATCCTGATGTGGACTATCCTAAGCTGTTATGAAAGAAATGGGGAACAGTTGGTTTGGCACTCAAGGTTCAGGAGGCCACTACTTGACAGGAAAATAGAAGAGTGCATAACACTATTGGGAAAACTAGAAAGTGTGAAAGTTTCAATTCAAACAAGGGATGAACTATGGTGGAAGGAGTTCTCAATGGAAAATTTTCTGTTAAATCATGTTACTCAACCCTTTGTAGGAACCAATTGGACTCAAACCAGATTGAAGGGATTTGGAGTAACCTGATTCCTCCTGGGGTGGAAGCTTTTGTGTGGCTGGTTGGTATGGATAGTGTCTTGACTGTGGACCACCTGAACAGCAGAGGATTCAGCATGGCTAGTATATGTTACCTGTGTAAAGAACTAGAGGAACCGGTCAATCATCTGTTTATTTCCTATAAAATTTCTGGTTTCATTTGGAATCTCTTCACAACTGTTTGGGATAAGAAATTTTCAGCCAAGGACTCCTGTAGAGATCTTTTCTTCATGGCCAAGACTCAAAGGCAGTAAGATGGCCAGGCTGATTTGGAACTGCATACCATTTGCTATCTGCTGGAATATTTGGAAGGAAAGGAATAGAAGAGTATTTGAAGACAAGGCCAGGAATTTGGATAGATTGGTGGTGGCTATTAGTAATTTTCCCCCCCCTGTTGTAGTGGTTTTTCAAGGTGTTGCCTTAACACCTTGTCAGACTGTATTTTTTTCCCTTTTAATTAAATGTTTTATTTCTACTATAAAAAAAAGAATCGCGAAAGGCTCTCCCTTGAATGAAGTAGAAGTGGAAGTGGAAGAGACTATAGCACTCTCTGTGTAAGGTGGAGGTGACGGTGGTCTTGGCTTTGGGGTGGTCGCAAAACTGGATTTGGAAAAAGCCTATGATAAAGTTGATTGGGACGGGATCCTAAACACATTGGACTTAAGAAGCTTTGGAAGAAGATGGGTGCGGTGGATGAAAGGATGCTTCAGTACAGCTTGGTTCTCGGTACTAGTAAATGGAGAGCCCAAAGGTTACTTTCAGGCAAGCCAGGGGCCTAAGGCAAGGCTGCCCCTTATCCCCCCTCCTTTTCACTTTGGTTGTAGACATTCTTAGCTATTTTATTGAGAAAGCAAAAGGTCTTAGGCTGTTGAGAGGTTTTGCAGTTGGGAGGGAAGCCATTCACTTGTCTCATTTGCTATTTGCTGATGCTATTATCTTGTTCTTGGAGGCAGATTTGGAAAACATCATCAATCTGAAAAATTTATTATTTGTTTTGAGTTGGTGCCGAGCCTTCATGTAAGCTATTCCAAGAGTAGCATTGTGGGAATAAATACAAGTGAAAGCTTGCTGCATAGCTTTAAGGAGATTCTAGGGTGTAAATTCGAGAGCTTCCCCATTTCTTATTTGGGGATGCCCCTTAGAGGGAATCCAAGAAGTCAAAGCTTCTGGGATCCAGTGGTGGAGAAGTGTAAAAAACGATTAGCCACTTGGAAGAAAGGGTACCTCTCAAAAGGGGGTAGATTTACTTTAATTAAAGCCTCTCTGGCTAATCTCCCAACGTACTTTCTCTCGATGTTTCAGATTCCTTCCAAGGTAAAAAACAGAATTGAAAAGTTGCAACGGGATTTCTTGTGGGATGGGGGTGGAGAAAAGAAGAACCACTTAGTCAGTTGGGACCAAGTGTGAAATCAAGGGAAGCAGGGGGACTTGGAATAGGTCGAACCAAGAAAGAAATGTAGCTCTCTTGGGAAAATGGCTATGGTGCTACCCTCTTGAAACAAGTACTCTATGGGCCTAAGTTGTCAGCAGCCAATATGGAAAGCATGCCAACAGGTGGGATAGCAAGGTCCACTTGAATCGAGTGAACGCCAACATTCCTTGGAAAGGTATCAGTTCTACCTATTCTTCTCTCTAAACATGCTTCAGCAAAACCTGGTAAGGCTGTTGTTCTCTTCACCTATTGCTAAAAGAGCCACTAACCTTCCTCAGTCAAGGGAAGAGGAGGAGGTGACCTTGTACTTTGATGGAAGTGCTCTAGGGAAACCCGGGTCGAGCTGGTTGTGGGGATGTGTTATTGAGGAGGGATGGTAGTCCTTTGTGGTTCTTTAGTGGACCATTAGGGACTGCAGACTCTACAATGCTGAAGTTGTAGCAGTGCTAAATGGCCTCCGTATCACAAGAAGACTAGGCCTGACCAACCTGGTGGTCAAAGGTGATTCTAGCAACACGATAAAGTGGCTTGGTGATGTGGGCGCCGGCAGCAGCAACAGTAATTTAGTGTTCTCAGCAGCAGCAATTTAGTGTTCTCATCCTATCTTATCTATTCAGTATTTTTACCTTATCTGCTTTCAGTAGTAGGGATTAGTAGGAGTCTTATCTATTCAGTGTTCTTATCTTATCAGTTCAGTAGTATGGATTAGTAGGGAGT